TCTGTATTTCTGAAAATCATACTGCTTTTGTTTGATCATTCATTTGTAATAGTTGTATAATTATTATGTAAGAAGGACATAATGGATGCAGATGAGCTGTCACTGCCTTCCAGCAACCGCACCCTAAAATGTGGTCCATATTGTCCACTGGGGGCCACAGACCATTCTCTCCTCAGAGCAGAAGTAGTGCCCTTCTCCCTGTTGGATACCAGCAGCACCAAGCAGCAAACACACTGGAGACACAGCCACTGGGTTGCATGTCTCTTCTGCCCACTCTCTGAGATTACCAACACATCAGCTTGTTGCCTCACTTAATCTTTGAAGAACTGAAGCACCAAGCAGAAAGACAATGTGTATGGCTGTCCTCAGAGACATGTCTGTAATAATTCCTGAGGAACTGTGTCTCTGGGCATCTCTTCCTTCTTTTCCCTTGTCCCCTTTGTATCTCACTCTCTCTGTGAGGTTATGCTCATAGAATCATAGAATAACTTGGGGTGGAGGGGACCTTCAAAGGTCATCTAGTCCAACCCCCTGTAGTGACCAGGGACACCTTCAACTACAGCAGGTTGCTCATGTTACGTATATGGTGGCACAGATTTATAGGAAGGCAGGATCCCAAAGCCTGTAGTCCATTATCCTACAAACTGAAATTGGAGGTTGAATAACTCGAACATAGTTCTTATGACTGAGAGGATCAGGGATTACCAGACAGATGAAACTTTTTTAGGCTGCAGAAAGGAGTGGAAAAACAGAGTGGAGTAATACAAAATCAGAACGAAAAAATACTGCTCAGCTGTGTTCTGATTATTGGAGCAGACATGAATTGCTGCTTTAGTCCCTAAGAAGTTTCTATTAATTTGGTCTTTTCTTTCTTGTGAGAGTTTACCTCCTGTAGATTTTTTCCCATTCCTTCCTACTCTTTCCAAAGAGGAAAAGAGCAGTGGTGCACCTATGTGACTACTTATTAAAGACATAAGGTTGGTAACAGAAAGTAGAGATCTCCCAGCTCCTAAGGCAAATGCATTTACTGGTTAATACTGATGAACACATTAAAGAAAGAAAGGCCTAGAGAGAGGGCTTGAATTGCTACCTACCATATGAGATTGTAGTAGCACATTTTTGAGTCAAAAGAAAGGAAATCTTTCCTAATATTTACAATCAAAATTTGCCCTACTTTGATAGCAATGAAAAAATGATTTAGTGGGTTTTTAGCTGTCTTACATCCAGAACTGATCTATGTTCTCCAGCACAAATAACTGAGGTCTCACAGTCTAAGTTTACCAGCAGGGTGAAGGATGATCTAAAATGCGTGAGAGGAAAAGCCAGCAAATACAACAGTAATAAGACCACATGATTATTTAGTTTCAGATGCTTGAAATATTTTTAATCTTTCTATGAAAATTATTATTACTTCAGCTTCTGTAGTGCTAGAAGGAGTCTTAAGTATGGAAATTAAAAAGATGAGTATGGTTTGTCGCACTGCTGTGCTTTCTGTATGTGGTAGTGGAGTAGGACCATGCCCTTTCTGTAAGAAGGATGCTTACAACTACATCAGTGAGGGAAATCAGGGTACTGACAAAGACACATCATCAAGAAAAACCTCTAGTGTGGTACCAGCAGGATGCAAGGGACTAATACAAATGTGAGAGCAGAGCACATTCTGAAAAGGGGGTGGAAGAAAATGGGGAGGTCCCCTGCAGTAGATAAATTAATAGGAATTATGCAGATTATGTCATTAAGTAATGTGCTTTATCATCACAAGAAAAAGCATTAATACCAGGATTGGTGTGGTCTCCTCTGCAATCCGATATAAATTGTGAGCCAGAACATGAACGTCAGATACTTACAGATGTAAATAGATACTCAAAAAAGAAGCTGTACTGGAGTGAAGAAAACTATAGCTGCAAGTGTATAGACTAGAACACAGTCCTCATCAGAAGTTATATTTCACTTGAAAATATAACTTTCAAAAAAAATCAGTCTTGAGAAAATTGAACATCTCTGATTTTCAGACTACAATGATCCTTTATGTCAAACCTCGGGGCTAAAAGTCAGTTTAAGAGTCCTTGCAATCATGAGACAGCAACTCCTATCTTGCATAGGAGAGCAAAATTCACTTCTGGAGCTAAGTGTGTGCAGCATGACACAGCATCCACAGTAGTGACATGCAGCCCCACTTCTCACTCCTCTGCCTCTTGTACTGTGTAACAGCTCAAAACCAGCAAGTCATTTCTTCACCCATTCCCTAGACACACAACCTCTATACAGAGCTGAAAATCAGTGGGGACCAAGGGCACAGTTGTCAGGCAGCCCCAGCACAGCTCATAGAAAAGCAGTGCTGTGAGATATATAATCTTTTTGCACCAGGATTACAGTCCTGACTCTTCTCCCAGGATGCCCGTGTCCTGCCTAAAGCTGTGCAGTTATAATGTGGGCACAAACAATACCTACAGTAAGAAAGACAAGAAGAAAAGGAACGAAATCAGCGTTCAACACACTGAAAACAACAAACCTGACAGCAGAAGAGGACAGAAGACTTGCTATATAAAGGTCTCTAAAAAGAGATTTATAGTCAGTGAGAAGCAAGGCTAATTGAAAATGCATAAAAAGGAGAGGGTTTTGCAGTCCTCATTAAATTGTGCCTGTTGTTGTAGAGATAAAAGAAACACAGTTTGCAGCAAAAGGTTGAGTAGAAATTTAAAATCCAAGGACAAAATTTTCAGTGAGTGGCATAGGCAAAATTAAGTATGAGGGTTGGTTAAGTATATCAGTTAGAGTTCCTGGTGGATTTTGACAAACAGAAAGATAAATACATCGAATACAGTTATATTTGAAGTGGAGACAGGTAGAGACTGTGCAATTATTCTTTGATGCTGTTGTGGACCTGGGGGTCAAGCTAAAGAGAGCAGCTCAGGAAATGATCTTTTAGCTGTGGTCAGAGTGCTAGTCAGGAGGAACTTATTTGCTTAGATATTGTTTACATCTAGGGGTCCAAAAACACAGCCTGCAAGGCCAAGATAAAAGATCAACAGTATTGCTTTTATAGTGTTTTCAATTAACAATGTGATTCTAAAGGTTCACAGTAGTTCAAAGAACGCTGGTGTGTGGTCAAAATATTCAGGAATCAGTGGTTTGGGGAATTTACTGGTTGGCACATAAGCAGAAGGAGCCCATATGTACAGCACAGAAACCATTACTGAAAATCAGTCAAGTTTTACAGTGCTTCCACGCCAATGTCTGACGTATCACAACATTTCTCTGAGCATGACACACAACCTTCAGAAGGGGAAAGAGTTACAGAGGAAGCATAATATGAATGATTCAGAAAGTCTCGTGTCACAACCCTGAGCACTGCAGTACCTAATTATGAGGCATAACGATTTGTGCACAGGCGGTGCCAAACGATGACAAGAGAATTAGACACCTAAAAATGGAGTTTGCCCTCTGGGGAAGGTCAGTGTAAGCCAATTGGTGGGGGAAAAGCCAAAGCAGTGCTGTGGGACTGAATACCTGTTCCCTCACAGAATCCAGATTCATGCTCCAATGAGAGCTACATCCTCCAGAAATACATATGGAATTATCATCTTAAGTGAACAGATGCGTCTTTCAAAATCTGAAGAAGGAAAGGATAAGACAAAGCTTTTCTTCCAAAAGGTAGCAAAGTAGGTGCAGGTGCTCCCTCTGAATGCCAGCCTCGGTGTTTAGTGCAGTCAAACCACTGTCAGAGAGCTTTGATTAAAAAGATTTTCTGCGTGAGGGATTTGACCCTCCATGAAAGCTCCAGTCTCCAAAAGCTTTACTTACTGTTGGTGGGTATTTTCTCTATGTTGTAATTAGAAAAATGAAAAGCAATTAGATTAAAAATATTACAAGACTTCTTGTAGCTGTGGTTTGATTGTTCACTTAAAACAGTAACAGGCTAACAGGCTTGGCTTGCTGAATATTCAATCATTTTATGAAACAGGCTGCATAGAAGGAGATTGAGAAAATCCCTTTCCAGCTTTTCCTATAGCATGATTTCTTGAGTACACTTGTGTTGTATTTCTACTCACATCTCTCTGGGAAGAGAAGCCTCACATGACCTCCAAAATCCTTGCTTTTACCACTGGACATCTGGCAAATTTTTCACAAATCTCCATAATTTTTAACGAACACTGCAACTTTAGAGAGTTTGCATTTAAAATGTGATGGAAAGGGTATGTAGTGGTCCTGAAGCTCCATTTTTGAGGGATCCATGTGAAAATTCAAGGGTTATCAGCAGTCTCTAAAAAGTTAGACTTTGAAAGGGTTCTGGCACAAAGTTTTTAAACGTACACAACAGGGAGGGGAAAAATTTTAAAAACAGAGGAAACCCATGGAAAATTTAGGTCTTTGCTACCTGTAAAAAAGAATGGTTTTGATCAGCATTATGAAGCCTTATGTCTGAATGACTGAGAGGATTGGCAGTGAGAAATAGAACCTCTCTGTTACGGGACATGAATTCAAATAGGAATGGTTTTAGTAGTGACAGAAAGTCATTACCATGTCATTGCAGTGCGCTAATATTTAGAGATTCATTGGTGGCTTGAGTCCAATTACCAGCACACAAGAAGTCACGTTACAAAATGCACTATCAGACCTGACTGAAGTAGGCAAGCCCACATCTGCTCTTTGTAACACGCTGCTACATTTCCATATGCAAAGTTATCCATTCAAAGTTGTGTCAAGACTCAAACCCAGTGTGGCTAATCATTCAAATTCCACACTACACAAAAGAGGACTTTAGTCTCCTAACCATCGATTCAATACTTCCCATGTGTAATGATTACAAATTTCTCTATTTAAATAATATAAACTAAGCAATACCAAGCTTTTACAGCCTCCAAAGGCAGTGCCTGGAAGCTGGGAGGGTGAGGGTTAAGTTGTCCTTGGGCAGGGCAACTCTCACAGGCTTTTGGTTTCTTTTCAGGAAAGGGTATATAACTATGCTCAGCTGAAACTAATTACCAGGAAAACTTTACGAGGGTTGAATGCTATAGTATCCCCTTGTTCGTTCAAGTTTTGGGGTGATTTAACACTGGTGAAGAGCTGAGTTGTCAGGAGCCTTGAGTGAACTCAGAAGAGGCTTTGTTTTGCTAAACTTAACGTATGTCGCTTGTTTCATTTTTCCTGGACTTACCTGAATAGGCTCAGAAATCCCTGAAAATTGGAAAGGAGCAAAAAAAAAAGATAATTATACCAAATGAAAAAAATACTATATAGTCAGGTGCAGGTAGTAACTTCCACAGATGTGTTTTCTCAAACACATTTTGTGTACATTTAGAATACATTTCTGTATTCTAAACAGAAAGGAATGAAAAATGTCATGGAAGAGGAAAGAGCTGAATTTCAGAGGAAAATTTTTCTCAGGAAAATTGCTCTTTTGACTGTTAGCTAGAGAGGGACACTAAGGTTCTGGACTGCGATAAGTTTTCTAGTGCACAGAAGCTGTACAAAGGAAATGTTATTACCTTAAAGGGAAAGTTCTTAGTCTTTACTAAGTGTGCATATGTATCTAAATATATATATGTGTGTGTATAAAAATATATTACAGTAGTTTTTACTCTTGGTTTAACAGATTTAGAGTTAGAGAAGCATTAACTGGAGTATCCAATATTTGGCAGAGATCCCTAGAGAGTTAGGCCAGTAGCAGTGTCACACTGACACAAGCTGGTTTGTATTTTTCAACTTTGCCTGAAGGAATGTAAAAATAACACTGGTCCATTGGTGGTTGCATTGACAAACAAAAAATTAGCTTGGTTTTATTGGATAGTGCTGAACATGACACAATAGCCTGTTTTCAAATCAGGTGAAAATATTTGAAGCAAAACAAGCAATAAATAGTAGGTTGGGAGGATGGGGAGTCCTAATTATTTTTAAAGGGAAGAAAATAATTCTGGTTTTGTTATTTCAAAAACACTTTTCAAATATTTTTATTATCAGTATTTTCATATATTAAACTCCAGTGTTACCTAGTGGGACTAAATAATGTGGAAGGAAAAAAAAACAGAATATTTTTAAGTTGGAAGGCGTGCCGAAAGACAAACCTGCACTGCAGACTGGGGACTTTGTTAGTACCTTGCTGAAAAAAAGCAGAACAAGGAGTTCAGATTTGCTGGAAATCATCCCCAGATCTTGATTTGCCTATTGGAGTCCTGAACAGCATTAAAGCCAGCACTGGCTAAAACCTGTGTCAGTCAGAGTTTTACTTGAACATGGGAGCAGCTGGATTTGATCCCCAAGTGAAATCAGCTCACTGATCTCAATGTTGTGCCCAGTAGCTGTCACAAAATAAAGGCTCAGGTGTCCTTACAAACTTCCACAGCACTTTTCTATATACTTGGAGCAGTTTGACCTGATGGCTAATATATACTCAGGAGAAGTTCAGGAATGGATTAACAGATGAACGCTTTGTTTTGACTTTGCTGCTATTTAGCACAAGTATTGCAACAAAAAGAACATCTGTAGGAGAAAATAGTTACATAAAATCTTCAGCAATATTTCTGAGATGGGAACTGGACCCAAAATGTAACTGATCACACTGCTAATAGGAAAATTCTTCCCTCCACTGAAGCAAGGTAGCACATCAGAACATACACCTGGGCTTCAGAAAGGTGCATTTGAATCTGCACCTAGATCTGTGCTTCATAGCTCAATCCTAATTTTAGTCACAATATTGAAAAGTTTTACTAAAGAATGAGTTCCTAGAAGAATGCAGAAATGGGCAGCTGTGGCATCTTCCACATGTTCCTGAGGTGTCTGAAGGAACAGAGAGCATCCACAAATCAATGCCAGGTGTGAGAGATCAGTGATATTTAGCAGCTGCCTTTGGAATCGTTTCCCAGGAAGGATGTGTCAAACCCTTGTCCATGCTGCTGGGAAGCAATGGAGCTTGCACCTGGACTCTCTTTACAGCCAGCCTTGTTGTAGTCAATAAATCTCACATTGCTCTCATTTCCTACCTGTACCATGGGTTCTTTATTCAGTCTTTCTAGGCACTATGGCCAGACCCTCAATTGAAGGCATAGTCCATCTTTCACCCCTAACCTTTAATATGAAGAGTGGCTAGAGATGGTGGTACTTTTGAAGGTGGAGATTTTTATATCCTGAGGTTCCTGTTGCTTCCAGTTAATGTCTCAAGTAGTAACTGGTGAAAAGTCTTTATAATATTTGTATCAATTTATTTAAAATGCTGAGTATTTGGGATGGTGTGCATTCATCCCGGTTCCTGTATCTGCATTTCCCTGGGATATATAAAACACTGTCTCTTAACTTTGTATTGCTTTTTAGTCCAGTTCTCCCAATAACAGATTTTCTGAAAGAACAAAGGAGGAAAATAAAGGAAGAAAAAAACCCTAAAAATTTGTATTCACAGGACAAAGATGCATTTCCTGATTTGTTGGTACAAATCTAGGAGTGCTTTCTTTCCCTCTACTTAGCACAGGTGCTTGGTGAACTATGCCAGTTTAACGATTATTTTCTAAGGATTATGTCCTGACGGTCATCAAAAACCCCATGCTGTGCAGGAAGTCTTAACAGCTCCTTTTCCTCTGATAGTGATAGAAATCTGGAAAGTAAGGCAAAATTTGCCAGCTCCCACCAATAACGACTTGTACAGAGAAATTGCAGGGAATCACATTTTAACATTGTGAATAATCATAGCTCACCTTCCAAGTTGGCACCAGAAAAATAAGCTAATTTGAACTTGTCCATACCTCTTCTTTGAAAACTGTGTGCTGTTCTGGTCTTGTTTTATTGTAAAAAGTATAAAAGTATTGGAGAATATCCAGAAAAGGGCAAAGGTATGATCAAATGTAGGGAGTAGACTCTGTATGAACAAAGTAGGAATTGCCAGGCTAGAAAAAAATGAAAGTAAATAGGTATGAAGACACAAATAGCAGGAGGAAGGTGGCTAGAGATCATGCACCAGCTGCTTTATTGAATACAAGGACCTGGTTGAGGGCATCATACAAAGCAAGGAACCACAGTCAGAACAGTCAAAAGGACACTGACCATAGAACTGCCAAACAGTGCTGTGAATGCCAAAAATTTGCACGGATTTAAGGTTACAGAATAAAGCCCATGGAAGTGCAATCCACTAAGGATCGCTAAGTGCAAAGAAATCACAGTTCTAGTACATCTTGAGTTATTTATAAATAACTGGAGGATGGAAGAGCATTCAGAGATATTATGTGTATTTAGCCTACTATTTTCCCTATTTGTTAGTTTGCTTCCTGTTAAATTTTGGAATCTGAATACTAGGCTAGGTGGAGCTTTGGTCTGGGCTATTACTGGTATGCTTTTGCTCATTTTGAAACCCTGAAAGAGCTGGTCAGTTCATCCTATATATCTCTTTGTGTGGGGGCACATGCACTGAAGAAAAGAAACTGTTGAAAAATTAGGTCCTGACTAAGTAAGTAATACAAGTCATTGATTTTTAGGAGCAAACACCCTGGGACATTTTCTCTTAGGGAAGTCAGTCAGAACTATGGCAGCAAAGATCAAATTGTCTCTTTTTTTCTTCCCTTAAGTTACTTTTGGCTTCACATAAAATAGAATGAAAAAATAGAGTGTCTACATCAGGCCCCAGAAAATGGAAAGTCTCTGAGGAACTAAGGAGAAGTATATTCCTCCTGTAATTATTTGAACCATCTTATGAAATATTATCCAGCCAAGCATTTTGTCTCTGCTTATCACCATGGTATCTTAAAGACTTGAAATTCTGATGTAATACAACAAAGTAATAAATGAATTCTACGTTAATTAGATATAGTATTCTTAAGGGCTAAAGACTTTCAAGAAATTAAGATATTTTTACCTGCCTCTGTCTCATTTTTCCAAGTCTAGACCTTGATCATTTCACGTTCGCATACAGTAGTGTTTTAAAAATAGAACTAGATCCTAAAGAGCAACTTACATAGTTTTCAAATTGTGAATGTACAGGTTGAATCCTTATGGCAACATAGTTGAAATGCTTATTTAGAAATTCCACTTAAGCTTATTACCAGTAGCAATTTAAATTATCTGTTGTTGGATGTAATGTTAAAATAAATGACTAATTAGTGTGAACTTGCCAACATTTAGTCACCAAGCATCTTGGAAGCTCTAGGGAACAGCTTTATAACAATTTACAGTACCCTACTTAGACAAGGACACCATTTTGCAATTGTCAGATATAATATGACATGTCTGTAATATTGCTTTATGCATAACACTTCTTTTTCTGCTCTCAAAATGGATAGCCTTTATTCTTCACTGATGGTCCTTTTTTAACTGGTCTCAAAGTTAAAGTGATTAACTGATATTTACTCCTCCTTTGTGGAGTGTGTGGCAGTTCAGCTGATGGTTTTTATTGCTAACGGACAGTCCTTCATCCACTGTACTAAACATAAAATACCACCCAATACAGGGCAGATCTCTCAGCAGGTAAGCATCTCCATCACAGGAGCTGGTGCTGGAAGCCTCAGCTCTGAGGTCCTCCATAACAGGCTGTGACATCATATTTTAAAAAGGCCAAAAAGGGGGTTGGCAGCACAAGGCAATGCCTGCTGCAGTGTGCAGGGACCCTCAGTAGTGACTGTACCAGTCTCACTCTCAATTTCCGTCAGCAGAAGGCACAGGTATTGGTGAGGGCCACGCAGGGTGAGGGCACCTCACTTGCTCCAAAGCTTGCTACCATGTGAAAGGTTGTGTGAAGCTTTCTTTGCCTGCAAACTCTATAAAAGGCCCATTTTCACCTATGAATGTGGTTGGTGGCCAGTGTGTGGTGAGAAACCCTATGATTTAGGTAACACTAGGAAAGGCAGCTTACAACTATTGCATTAAGAACAGTTTTTCTGCCATGTTGCTTCTCTTATGCATAATGTGTCTGATCCAGTCAGAAATATTCTCTTTTTCATGAAAGCAAGCATGCTTATTTTTGCCTCTAAAATCTGGGAAAAAAAACAAAACAAAACAAAATGCCACCTCAGTAGTTTGTCTGTGACTGTAATACAGCTGTTAGGAGTGTGCTGAGTTATAGCTCTGGTAGCTTAAATAGCCCTTATACAACACGACCCAGACATCATACTTCTGTGGTGCTTTGCAGCAGCTCAGGAACAGTTAGGATATTACCTTTTCCTGTGGAGTGAGGGAGAGGTGACAAAAAAAAAGATATTTTTTACTTTTTTGGATTTAATATTTTATGGTAAATGAAAACAGAAGGAAATTGGTTATCTAGATCTCTGTCTTGCCTGCAAGAAACCAGGAGTTTCCTTGGGCAAGTGATTCAACTTTTCCATGCAAAAGTTCTCTTCTTTTGACCTCTAAGTACTAAAGCACACCTCTATAAATCTGTTTAAGCTTCTTGGGTGAAAGCTCTGGTGCACATGGGGAAAAAAAAAAATCTCTGCATTTTAGTAGAAATTTTGTATCTCAAAAGCTGGTAACGCAGCCAGGGGCAGGGCAGTTGTCTGGCTCTCTTGCACTGCAGGATGGAAAGCCCAGGGAGAGCCACCGCTCTTGAGAAGCAGATGTGGTTTTCATCATTCATGAACAGTCATTTTGGCTGGTGCTTGGAGGAACTTCTGTGGACCCCAGAGGGAGTATGTCCATCACTACTGAGCAGAAGAGAGGGCTATTGCAACACAGGGACCTTCACAGCAGTGAGAACAACCTGGAAGATTTTTTGCAGTCTATGCAGTGTCTCCCCAGGCCAGAATAAAATTTGGAATAATCTATGTAATGTTCCACGTCTCACAGTAATGGAAATAGTTTGTATTATTAGAAATTACTTTTCCAAAATCATAAGGCTATTTTAAGACCTAGGTAAGGCTGCAAATTCGTCATGATTACTGTTGGTGTCAGAGAGTTTGGGAATTGCTTTTCTTGCCTTCTTCCCTGTGCTGGCACATATGCACATGCCCAGTTGTGTGGCTGGCTCCCTAAACGCATGGGCCGATGAGCAGCTGTATAACCTTCACTGACAGTCTCACCAAAGCAGCCTCTTGGGGTTCTGCCTGTACAGGAAAGGCCATTAGCCCAGGCAGAAGGCAGGAGGGCAGCAGGTCCATCCTCATCCCACCCAGGTGGGTAAAGCATTTACTCTGCACAGAGCAGGCCATCAGCTGGAGGATGGGAGTGTAGACCTTGTTCTGGAAAGGCAAGGAACCATTCCATTAATCAACTCCAGGGCAAGAAGCTTGAATTCTGCCTGGATGACATGCGAAATCCAGTGGGAAATATGATTTGTCACCCACGCATAAAAAGATTTTCCATGCTGGCTTCTACAAAGATTTTGTTTCCATGGATTTCATACCATTTCTTTTGTTCTCTGGTCAAAAATTCAATTTCCTTTAAAATAAATATTAACAAGTTAATTTTAATTGCTTTTTGTTTATTTTACAACTCCATTATTTTCTGTCAAGTTTCACATGTTTGAAAACAAAAATGTTACTAGCTTTCCGTTTCAGCAGATGTATGGGAGCAGACAACAGACCTCAATCAATGTGATATTTTTTTAAAGAATGTAAATTAATTCGAAGGAGGTGGGAGAGGGCACATGTATTTGTAACATGCATTTTAAGAGATTTTTGCATTTACATTTATTTTTAATGGCGTTTATGCCCTCTAATGTCAGAAAACGTTATTGCAAGGTAGTTTTGGGTTTAATATTTTTTCCTTAACTGCGTCTGTCAGTATCAGACTAAACTATGTGATCTTTATAAAAATATACATCCTGGATTTATTTCTACTATATATGTTCTGCAATTTCACAGTTTTGGTGTAGAGGTCACCTTGGTGGGGGGCAGGGGAGGTTTCTATCCAAAGTAAGCTCTTCCAAGAACGAATTTCTGATGTGTCAAACACACACAAAAATATTGCTAAATTACAATTTCTGTGATTACTTATTTCATCCTCCAAAATACACGTATTTTTGTCTTGAAAAAAGAATTATTCTTGTGTTCAACCAGAAGTTAAATAAGCAACATTGTCCCTCTCATTTCTTAAGATTGTTAAAAAAAAGACCTTCTCTGGTCACATCAAGGAAAAATAGCTAAAAAGTACGACTTGTTTCAGTAATAACTCAGAGCTTTGATGTATGAAATATTTGATCTTAGAGCCATCAAAACCCGTTGGACTCAGGAATAACATAAATAGCTGATGACACCACAAACACAGCCTCTGTTGTCTGAGATTTCTTGAATTATGGGTATGAAACGTCACATATATTCCACACATCTGTTAGAAAAACAGTATTGATTTGGTAGGTGGATGACCATGGGTAAGCTCTGCAGTGGCAGTGCTTAGATTACAGATTGGGCATTCATAAACCCAAATATATTCATGTTTCCCAAGCTCCTACAAAACCTCAGCCTTTTGCGTGTGATTCAGGCTCATTTCATGCTACCAAATCTGTCATGCAAAGTGTTAAATCATGCCCATGTTACTCCAACAGTACTGTGAAAGATCCAGTAATTGCAAAATGAAGGAATTCACTGGCTTCCTCTCTCGCCTTGTATGAAAGTGTCAAATATGCAGAAGTGGTCTGTCACCTGTTGAATACAAACACGTGAGACAAATACACATGCCTTTAAATCCAGTCATCCCTGAATGATGTCGCTTTGTGAGTAGATAGATGTCCATGGACTGCAAGCAATAACACATGTCTGACCTATCTGGATTATGTCTAGAGAAACCTAGGCATTAGTTTGATCATGTAGTTTCTGACTTGTGATTTAATAAAACTTGATTGGCACTTTTAGTTTGTCATAGCCTTTTCCCTTCCCTTTTTGGCTAAAGAAGTAGAATGCACCTGACTGATAACAGGGATCAGTACAACATCTCTTTTTCTTCAATCATCCAGAGCATGCAATATTGGGATGACACTTTTGATGTTAGAAAATCAGATTGTCAGTACAAATCATAAATGCCCAAGGACTGACTTGAGCTTTGGCCACAATAATAGACATATGTGGAACAGAATATATACAAAACTATGAAAAGACTGCAACTAGAGAAAAAAGCATGTAAAGGAGAATATGTTTGCATTTCCAGTCTGAAGAGCAGTGAAACGAGCAGGGTAGCACTAGATAAAGCCTTGAAATTGTTACCTTTTGAAGAGTGACTCTGTAAAAATTGCTTAATAAGACTCCATATTTTTTGTGTCTCCATAACTGAAGAAAACAGACTTTCTGCAGAATTTTGGATTTGTTTTAGAGATCAGTTATAATTATTCCACTTTGAAATACAAGCACCACAAAACTACCATGCCATCTGAAAATGAATTTATGTTCTTTCTTAGTTTAGACTTTATAAGCAATAAAGCCATTGCAGGTGGGGGTAAAAGAAGAACGTTTCTCTTCATTTTATGTCATCCACTTCCACTGGTAGCATTCACTGATACATGGATATAAGGAAGAAGTTCTTTACTGTAAGGGTGGTGAGGCACTGGAATGGGTTGCCCATTGTGAATGCTCCATCCCTTGCAGTGTTCAAGGCCAGGTTGGGCAGAGCCTTGGGTGGCACGGTTTAATGTGAGGTGTCCCTGCGAATTAGATGATCTTAAGGTCCTTTCCAACCCTAACTATTCTACGGTTCTATGAAGTATAACTAATGGTAATGTTTAATCCAACAGGAGGAAGTCCATTAACAACTCTGGGCTTGCAAACACAAGACTAAAATCTGTGTCACTGTCCAGAAGAGCAAGTATGTTTCTCGCCCTGCGCAGAAAAGCTAGTTTCTTGGAAGTAATTTTTTCTGACCATAATTTTATTTCCACATCTCCAACACAGTGTTTATCAACAGGAGAAAAACTAGTATGTAAGAGTTATTAATGATGTGAAAGATATTATTAACACTAAACAGTGGAAAAGCAACATTACCTTTGGAAAATGTCACCGTATTACAACTTATTCAAGCTGAAGTAGAAAAATAATCAAAAGCAAGTTATTTTAAAATAAGCAGTATATCCATCTACCTGTCATTTTGCCCAGAAGGCAAGAAAAACACTGCAAAATACCTTCATGTATCAAACAATCCTTATATTCTTATTTCACTCCATAACACTGAAATACTGTAAAAAGGCATCTCCTTGAGTAGGTCCACACATAAATACTGAAATGTTAGAGATGGATCAGCTAATAGTTCCTGTCACCACTCCTAAAACATCAGTCTGCACTTGGTTCACATAATTACAGTGTCACATTATCAACAGGATGAACTATATCCCTGAGCAACATCAAACCAAATTAATTGGAGCCAGCAATGCCTCCTGTCCACAGCAGCCACCAGTGACTATATGAGCTTATGAAGGTTCAGAAATATAGGATTTCAAGACATCTAACTAGGATAGGCATCTAAATACAGATTCTGGAATCTAGTTAAAGAGATCTGTTCCAGTAGTGCTGCGCATGTGTAATTTTTAAATTTCAAGATCTGGTTGTGTCGAGTGTGTGCCTTTTAAATAGCTTTCTGCTGATACACTTTGATTCAATTTAAGAAAATACTTGGATTGTATCTAAAAGGCTGATGTAAAACAATAACGAGTACTAAATCAGCAATGATTATCAATGATTAGATCCTGGGACTTCTCCCCCAAGCTCACCACCCTGGCCCCATGCCCACCACTCTCCTCACTGCTCTGCCTGAAAAAAAAAAAAGGAGTTAGTTAGGTGTCGGGCATCCCATTTGTCAAAGGGACCTTGAAAGGTCATTTATTCACTTCTCTGCTCAGAGGAAAGAACAGCTGGGCATGCATCACCCCTGACAGCTGAAAGTCAGCTCTGGCTTTAGGAAGATAAGCACCAAAAATGCCTATGTTGTGAGATGCAAATCTTTATGAGAAGGAAAGCATGATCTCTTTCTTGTATTTTTCCAGTTTTATGCATCTTGTCATTAAGACCAGCTATATTAATAGTTTAGAAGACGGATTCTATTACATGATGTATTTTATTCTGTCTCACATGTCACAAAATCTGAAACTATGGCATTCAAATTCTGAGGGGGGGGGGTAGAAATATTAATGTCTTTTTTCCTGTGAATATTTTATACTTGATCATGTTTTGTAAAGCAAATAAACATTTATTTTACACAAGATGATCTTTGTCAGTAGTCTAAGACTTGATAATCTATATTATATCAGCCTGGATGACAATTTATTTTAATATTTATGTTAAACACCTTACTCTTATCTTACAAAATTCAATCTATTCATCTTCACCTACAAAGCAATACATATCCTTCTGACATATGCTGAGTACTCATTGCTAGAAAGTGTTCTCTAAGTCCATACAGATTCTCCATCATCTGATATCCCCATCCACTTATCCTCTCCTCATGATTAGGTGCAGGATTTGGACCATGTGACTTGAAGACAGCCCTCATCGTTATTATTTTTCCAGTTCCTGCTAAGCAGACAGATTTTGTTTTCCATAACATTTCCCAAACACTGCTCCTCCTGCAGTTTTATTTCTAATCTTTTCTTGTGTTAACAGTTTATAAATCTTTTGTAATAGGGAATGCGCTACCTCCCTTCTCACAAACATACTAAACACGCATGCCACAATCAATGTTTAATAATAACTTAAAATCCAGCAAAGAAAAAATCCAAATGGTACTTGAAAGTAATTTATCTCTTTATTAAATTCCATAGTATGTAATTAAATACTTACAGAATATGGCACGCTACAGAGTGCAATGAGCTGATATCTCACAATAAGCTGTCACTGGATTGCCTTCACATACTGCAGTAGCACTAAGTTTTCACTTGCTGGACCAAACAATATGCAGCATCATAAAGAGAGGTAGTAGCCCTAGTGATTTTGAGCACTGCCAGGAATTGCAGTTAGAATTTGGTTGGTTGATTGCTTGTGGGTTGAATTTTTCATGTTTGCTTTTGTCTAGACCACAGATGAGACCTCTAGGGGGCAGCTAGTTCAGTCCCCCACTCAAAGGCAGCCTATCAACAGCAGTAGGTTAGATCAGCTGTGCTTTTGTCCAGCCAAGTGTTGAAAATTTCCAAAGATAGAAATTCCACAATCTCCTGGACGACCGGTACAAAAAATGTGCTACCCTCCTAAATGAAAGTACTGTATCAACATAAGTGAGACAACAGATTATTCAGCTTGGCACCTGACTTACCAAATAGTGTCCCTGTGATCTTGCCAATGGAAAGTGATGAGTTCTTCCAACAAGCAAACAAGAGTAAAGACTTAAATTCAACACCAATTTGTTTTTTCTTCCTTAGCAAGGTCTCTCACTCTCCAGGCAGCCTGGGAAGACTACAGCAGGTAAAACGTAGATGCCCACATTTTGATGGACAGAATGCACAACTCTGGGAATGCAGCAAGTATTATTTGCAAGAGAAGAAAATCTGTTATGCAATTAATTCATCTTGAAATTCAATATTTGAAAAACATTTTGCTTTTTTTTTTTCTTTGATCTAGATATGGTGACATGGTGCCAAAGACAATAGCTGGCAAGATTTTTGGTTCAATATGCTCCCTGAGTGGGGTCTTGGTCATTGCTTTGCCAGTTCCTGTAATTGTCTCCAACTTCAGCCGTATCTACCACCAGAATCAACGAGCAGACAAGCGCAGGGCACAAAAGGTGAGCTCCTAATTTTTTTCACTTCTGTTATTGAAAAATTGGTAACATGACTTTCTATATGTTGTGCATCCTCAAAGTATTTCTTAGCAAAATAACTATTCTATATATGTGCCACACACCTAGCCTATGTCCTAGATGAAAAACATCATTAGACAAAAAAGAAAAAACCACAACATGGTTCATTTATCTTTTCTGTCAAAATTTACAGATTTACCGTTGTGGTAATTCATCCTACTTGTTAGACTAGATCTAGTATTTTCAGGCAATTGCTGCCATTCCACCCACTGAAGATCCTTCTGTGTTTCTCACGCAGACTTTCTTTCCATGAGCATCTTCTGAGGAGAAAAGAATAACTAGAAAGAAAAAAAACCTAATAATGATTTCTAATGTCTCTCTTAGCAGCCTGCTCTACTAATCCATGTATTTAATCCCCAGGTCCAGTCTCTGGAGAATCTGATTATTGACAATATTGTCTCCTCAGCACCTACTTTGCTTAAAAGGCTTCAGAAAAAAAAATTTAAAAACTTAGTCACAAAAAGCCAAAAGCAAAAGTCTCTTTCTCCAGCTTCCTTGATTTGCTGAGTCTATTACTAAAACACCAACTAGTCCTACAACAAGACAGTTCCTCTCCCTGACCCATCTGGGCAAGGTCAGGAGCCAGGAAGAACTGTTTACTGGAAGAGCTGCAGCCAAGCCAGAGCAATCAGCTTCCACCCCACATCATGGCTAGTGTACTAATACCAATCTACTTCACCCAAACCTGCAATACTAAGCATCTTAGAGAGCTTCCACTGACACCTGAAGCTCTGATAAGGGAGCTGAGATGCATTGCCTTCTGCTTCTCTGCTGTTGGCCATTGAGATGAGTGGTTGAAACACAGGTTACAAGATTGCCAAGGCTAAGGCTCTAAGCTCTAAGTAAGAACTTTCTGTGGTCCCATGGCCTCTGTTCAGGGGTCCCGAGTCTCCAGAGATCCAAGGAGAGCAGGATCATTGCCCACAGAGATGTGCAGGTAGGCCATTGCTAGAGACTACATACATAGACTGGGGAACACAGCCAGCTGAAGGCTTCATCTGCCTCATATAGACAAAAGCACCAGATTTAAAGATACAGAATTATTTGCTTCTTTCTGGACACCTTTTTAATTATTTTCTTCATGCAAAGGAAGTGAAATAAATGTACACGGTCATACCATTCCCAGAATATCTTGAGGAGAAAGAGAGGTACATGGCCAAGTCAGTCATCCTCTCAGGCTGAAAATATTGCACCCTTTAATGGCCACACCTTGGAAGAATGCTGTCAGATGAGGAAAATGGCCATAAAAGAAACCAGGTGTATCACAAGAATGTCATACCTTTCTAGAAACCTGATTTAAAATATAGGCTGCTTCAGAGAACCAAATACCATACATTACCTATCTATTAATTCCTCCCACCCTTTTGCATGCCATTTTGTCCCACATGCTAGTTCTAGCTGTGCATTCCGCTCTCTCAGAGCTGGGATATACAGACATGTCACTTCTACACTGCGTTGTTTCTGCCAAGAATTTTTCCACTTCTGTTTGTGTAATGGCAGCAGACAAAGAACAGTATACATCAGCCAAAACACAATGCTTCATTACTGTGCCTCAGAGCATTGTACCAGTCATGAGTAACATATCTGCTTGATCCCAGCAATAAATGTGCCTGTTTCGAGCTTTCATAATAACTGCAGACACAGACAGACTTACTTCCTATAGAGACTGTCTCCTACTGCATGTCAAGAAACAGAATCTTCTGTGCCTGCTTTACACTTGCTAGTGAGAAAGAGATGGACACTAGAAAATACCTTGCTTGCAATAATTAGATTGGCAGACTGGCTATTATTCCTTATAATCTCTTCCTGAGTAGAAGCTGCTTGAGTTAATAACTGACTTTTCTTCTTGCTAAACAGTGAACTCATTGTACGTTTCAAACAGGAATATTAAATAATAAATGGCAGTCTTGCCAAGTGGTTTTTCTCTGCTCTCCAGAACACTGCCGACAATAAGGATAAGAGATTTCTGACTGTGTTGATGCCTTTCTTGCTTCAGAGAAAATGGCTTTGAGGTCTGATTGACTTAGCACTAATTTATATCTCCTCACTCGTTTGTATCTCCTATTGCAAAGCTGATCTCTGTCAATCTAAAATGACTGAGATGTTGAACCGAATATCGCGCTGAGAGACTGAAAAAAAAATCAACAAAAGGCACTTCTTGGGTACTGTATAGTCCATATTTAGCAATATTTAGCTATGAATATAGCCTTGCATGTCACAGAAGGGTTCTATTGCATTGCATAAGAATATTCAAGCAAAAAGGTCACATTATTGAAGTTTGAAATTCCTTCTTCATTCAATACAGTAGAAGCTTCTCGCAGCTTTCTGAAATAAATATTCCCTTAGGCACAAACCTTATTCTTACTCTCTAAGGCTGAAGAACATAAGCTTGAAAGAAGGGGCTGTTTCATGGAGCACAGCATGCACCCCTGCAGGCAGTGGTACCTCCCGCTGGCTACAACAGCTTCCATCTGATTGTGGGAGTTGTGTGTTTGAATTGTGTAACTTATTTTATCAGTATCTCATGCAGAAGTTTAATCAAGATAATCTTCAGAAATGCGAAACATTTGGTCTGTACGGAAACTTAAGAGCAAGTTCTCCATTGAAGTCAAAATCTCGTACAGGAGCACTGGCAATTTTCAGCAGAAGAAAAAATTGTCACTTATATTAGGTTTGTTCAAGAGCCATGTGACCATCAGCATATGCATTTACTGAGTTCTGCACAGTCATTCAAGATTAGATGATTCCATTTGTTTCTTTTTGGCCAAAAGATGCTGTACATTAAGGCTCAGGAGAACATGGAAGAAGAAATGTATATATACCATCTCATTTTGAATACATTTCAAAGGAAGATCCTGCTTCCAACCATGGAATATATTGTAATTAGCTTTAAATCCCACTTTGTAATAGGTTGTCAGGAGAGGCCAACCTTCCACTGCACTACAGGAACTCACTGGCAATCAACATAAACAACAAAAAAAATAGGTGGAAATAAAAAGCAAAGAAAATTCATTTGTGCTTATGAGAACATTTTCTTCTATCAGATAATAAGGTCCAAGGATCTGACATACCCTGACAATTGCAATTCAAGGCAGAACTAATTATGCCCTGTAGTCTTACTGCAACTTTTCCTCAAGCATATTTATCACTACTGAGACAGTTCTGACAAATCCTATTTGTGGAGCTTTTCTCAGCTATAGAAAATTTCAAGAGGCCAAGTTATTTTGGTTGCCCATCAGTGCCTTCAGGTGGCAATGTTAATGACAGATGTGTTGTGACTGGTCCATGTGTAAAGGAAAGGACAGAAAAAGAAAAAGTTTAGGTAAGCTTGGATACAATTTCCTATTCCATATTTGATGGGTATCAAGGGTTAAGATATGTCTAGACCCTCACAGTTCTATATTCACTGGGATGACTGCCAACACAGGGAAGGGCTCTTCTTGGAACCTGTGTCTGGCCACGCAATGGCAGCTTGGCTGTAAAGCTCCATCCTATGTACTGTGGCAGCTCCTTACCCTGAATGAAGCATCCTTTGCTAGATGCTTTCTCGGTTTTACATACATCTATTTTTCTGCATATTTTGAAGGCAAAAGCCTTGTATTCTCTTAAACATCAAGTCCTAAGTGTGGGTCCATCTGGCCACTATTGTTCATTATCTGATAACTGAAGAAGCCTTAATTTAGTTACCCAAGCACTTTATCCCAATAGTGACAAATGGTGCCACAACAGAAACCTAAACAACTATGATCAGCTCCAAACCCTGACATAATACGTAAAACTCAACCTGAATCTTTCATGTGACTATGGTCTTCTGTCTTTGTATAGCAAAATCTATCCTAAAGATTGGCTTGACTTTATTATTTATTGATTGTGCATGATGTATTTATCTGTCAATTTATGAATAATTACTTACTAAATAAATATAAATAGCTCTCAAATAAACTGCAACAACTGCTTAACAGCACCTGGCAGTCTAGAGCTGAGTGTTTGTAGTAGGGAACCCTGCTAGCTACTGTGACTTCTTTAAATGACATAAATAGGCCATTAACCTCAATGGGGTTGCCAAGACATAACTAACAAAACAACTTACCCAAGATTTTTGAATTTAGCACAGAAGCATGGAAAGCTTGTTTTTACTGAACAATACAGTCATAGAATCATAGAATAGTTAGGGTTGGAAAGGACCCTAAGAACATCTAGTTCCAACCCCCCTGCCATGGGCAGGGACACCTCACACTAAACCATGCCACCCAAGGCTCAGTCCAACCTGGCCTTGAACACCGCCTGGGATGGAGCATTCACAACCTCCCTGGGCAACCCATTCCAGTGCCTCACCACCCTCACAGTAAAGAATTTCTTCCTTATATCCAACCTAAACTTCCCCTGTTTAAGTTTTAACCCGTTACCCCTTGTCCTATCACTACAGCCCCTAATGAAAAGTCCCTCCACAGCATCCCTATAGGCCCCCTTCAGATACTGGAAGGCTGCTATGAGGTCTCCAAGCAGCCTTCTCTTCTCCAGGCTGAACAGCCCAAACTTTCTCAGCCTGTCTTCATATGGGAGGTGCTCCAGTCCCCTGATCATCCTCATGGCCCTCCTCTGGACTTGTTCCAACAGTTCCATGTCCTTTTTATGTTGAGGACACCAGAACTGCACACAATACTCCAAGTGAGGTCTCACGAGAGCAGAGTAGAGGGGCTGAGAGCTCACACTGCTGACTCATGTTTATTTTCTCATCAACCAGCACCCCCAAGTCCTTCTCCTCAGGGCTGCTCTGAATCTCTTCTCTGCCCAACCTGTAGCTGTGCCTGGGATTGTTCCTACCCAGGTGTAGGACCTTGCACTTGGCATGGTTAAACTTCATGAGGTTGGCATCAGCCCACCTCACAAGTGTGTCAAGGTCCCTCTGGATGGCATTCCTTCCC